AAAAAAAAAAAAAAAAAAAAAAGAATCACCTCTCAAAAGTCACTTACCCACCTCCTTGCCTTTGCCTCCAATAAAGCACCTTGTTGAAAAGACTGCACCTTTGGAGATTGTTTTGTTCTCTGGCTGCTGTCCATAACTAAGTCTCCACCTAGTCTTTGGTGAACATTATTCCTTTCAGCCTTGGAAATAGAAGTTGAATTAGCCCCTTGAAACCTGAATAGTGATCAATAACCACCATCTGTTGATTATTTACTCTGTGGCAGGACCGTGTATCCCTAAATCCTCTGTAGTCCTCTGTACTAGGACGATTAGCATATCTTGTTTTTCTTTCTTTCTTTTATTTATTTTTTTTCCCCCCGGGCTGGGTTTGAACCCCCCACCTCTGGTATATGGGGCCAGCACCCTACTCCTTGAGCCACAGGGGCTGCCCAGCAAATTTTATTTTTTTAAGCTGAGGCTCAATAAGAGAGGTCATTTGCCCAGCACTATCTTCAGTAAGCAGCAGAGAAGGTATTTGAACCCAGGGAGTCTGACACCAGAACATACATGCTGAATCACTACCCTGCTTTGCCTGAAGGGGGTGCTCTTATTTAGTTTGAGCCAGATCCTTGCCCCCCTCCCCATGCCTGTGCCTCCATTTTCTATTGTGTGAAACCATTTTCTTCTACTACTATTCATATTTTCTTCTCTAAGCCCTTCAAAAAGTTTATCACACTCTATGAGCTGATTTTTTACATTGTAGTCATCAAATCTAAAAATAACAGCTTCCATTTTCTGAGCACTTACTATATACTACCCTGTGCTGAGACCTTTCCACATCTCATCTCGTTCAATGTTCAAACCAATTAGCTGGGCATGGTGGCACAACAAGTAGTCAGTCTCAGCTACTTGGGAGACTGAGGCAGGAGGATCACTGAAGCCCAGGAATTGGAGGCTACAGTGAGTTATGATTGTGCCACTACACTCCATCCTGAGGGACAGAGTCAGACCCTTTATCTTAAAAAAAAAAAAAAGAAAATAATATATATGTGTAAAATAAATATTCAAACTGGCTCTGTGAGATTAGTATTATTGCCTCCCCTTCAAGAATGAGAAACTAAAACCTCAGAGAATCCCATCTGTCTACAGTTAAAAATAAATAAATAAACAAAATCTCAGAGAATTTAAGTCATTTGCCTGAGATCACATAAATGACAATCAGGAGTTGACTACGTCTGTCTGATGGCAATGCCAGAGTTCTTAACCGCTAAGTCACCCAGCTGTCTATGAGTACATATGACTACATTGGCATCGAAATTCACCACAGCAAATGGGAAGAAGCAGAGAAAGAAACTGAATCAGAAAAGAAAAACCCACAGGGACTATAAGAAGCCACACTGAGCAGTGTCGGGCCATTGGAAGCTGACAGAACAGCTGCCACTTCTGGATGTATGGTGGGCAGCAAAGGAACTTCCCTTTGAAGAAGAGAGTGTGTGTGGACTTATCCTTTAGCCTAATTTTTCCTTCATTTTATTCATCTTGTTCAGCAATTATTTACCAAACACCTACTCTGCACTGTATAAAATACTGAGGATGAATGAATTTGGGGCTGGCCTCAAGACAATGACATAGTGCTATCAGCTGTCTGCAATTCAGTATGCTTTGAGATTTTCTTCCTGCTCTTCAAAATGGCATCTTTACATATGCTATGCTCTATATACTCCAGATGATGCCATGTATTTTGTGCAATTATCTCATCATCCTCAAAGTCTGTATTTGTAGATACTATTACATCCACATTTTAGAGATGAGAGAACTGGCTTAAAAAGGCAAATGATTTGCCAAAGATCACTCACTCCTGAGTGGTAAAGATGAGCTTAGAATCCAAATTTAGATAATTCAGAGAAGCTCCATCAGGCTGTGAAACTCACTGGAGGCAGAGTGAGGCATCTTAGTCACTTTTGTATATCTAGTACTGCCTAGTACTGTACTTGGCACCATAGAGGACACTCAATAAATGATTGCTAAATGCTAAATGAAGGGCCATTCATCAGTGCTCCCAGTTTTTTTTGATTATTTGGCAGGCATGATTGGAACTATTCTCAAATTCAAATTCCAACATAGATTGCATTCTTTGCATGTTGTGCTACATGGAACTTCCAGGAGATGTACAATAAGTTAGACCTGGCCTCAGGCTTCAACAAACTGGAAAGGCCTTAATATGCCTACTATCTTTCTTCAATGGAAAGAAACAGCAAACTCCTGTTTGGATGAAAGAAAGGTGAGACTGGTGCTTATATTTCTTTTCCAGATAACAAAACAAACAACAGGGAGAACAGAGTCACAGGTGTACTAAAAGCTATAGGAAGGTGAAAAAAAATTCTCTGGTTAGAAGCATGGGAGCTCATACGTAATCCTGGCACTTTGGGAGGCCAAAGTGGGAGGACTGCTTGAGGTCAGGAGTTTGAGAATAGCCTGAGCAAGTGTGAGATCCCATCTATACAAAAAATAGAAAAATCATGGGTTGGCGCCTGTAGCTCAGTGGTTAGAGCACCAGCCACATACACCAATGACAACTACAACAAAAAAACAGCCAGGCGCTGTGGCAGGTGCCTGTAGTCCCAGCTACTTGGGAGGCTGAGGCAAGAGAATCGCCTAAGCCCAAGAGCTGGAGGTTGCTGTGAACTGTAATGCCATGGCACTCTACCCAGGGTGACAGCTTGAGGCTCTGTCAAGAAAAGAAAAGAAAGGGAAAAAAAAGAAAGAAAAAATCCAGTCAGGCATAGTGAATGCCTGTAGTCCTAACTACTCAGGAGGCTGAAGGAGTTGGATTGCTTGAGTCTAGGAGTTTTGCAGTGAGCTATGATGAGGCCGCTGTACTCTCGCCCGGTGACAGTACGAGACCCTGTCTCAAAACAAAACCCAAACCATGTCCTCTGACTAAAAATCGACCTCTTTTTCCCTTGGACGAGAGAAAATAAATGTCTTTATCAATCTTTAAATGAACATTTTCTGGGAGAAGGAGAAGTTGGATATAGGATAGACCTGCACAGTGCCTAGGATGATTTGAATGAGTGAATAAATAAATAAACGGGATTGACAGCATTTTGAAGGCAAGATTACATCCTAGAAGCCACAGTACTTTTTCTTTTTGAGAAAGCGTCTCACTCTGCTGCTCAGGCTAAAGTGCCTTGGCATCATAGTAGCTAAGGTTAGAGGAGCCCGCCAGCCAAAACGCCCAGCTAGTTATTTCTTTCTATTTTTAGTAGAGACGGAGTCGCTTTTGCTCAGGTTGAGCTCTAACTCCTGAGCCGAAGCAGTCTACTCGTCTTGGCCTCCCAGAGTGCTAGGATTACAGGCCTGAGCCATCTTGCCTAGTCTTAGCCACAGTATCTTCACAGTATCCAACAGATCACACATGGTCATTAAGTATTGCTTCAACGACAGAACAGTGTAACCTAAAGGTTCGCCTAAGTCCACAGAAAAAAAGCCACGTGGCCGTATTTACCTTGCTACGTCACGTGACCCTTTGCACCCCACCAGGTTAACAACACAAGCCTCTCCAGGGCCACAAGATGGGTGATTGGATAAAATGTGGGCACGTGTCTCTCACTCTCTCTTTTCTATTGGTGAATAGCAGCCCAGCCCCTGGCCCACCTCCACGCCTCTCAGGCCCACGGCGGGGCCTCAGCCTGCGCAGGCGCAATGAGTGGTAGCGCTTGCTGTAGTGGTGTCCGCGTGGGAAGAAGGTGGTGGCTTTGCCGGCCCTTTCTTGGAGTTTTGGAGCCAGAATCCGGCTGGACAGACAGCGTGGGCGTTCTAATGTAAAAAGAAGGCAAACTTACGTAGGCGTGACACTGAGGCCGACTCTCCTGCTGTGCTTGTGCCTCACTGGGTCACTCATCCCTGCAACCCAGTTGCGTTTATCCTGAGGAGGTGCGGGGAAGCAAAAGGAGGGACCGAGAGGAGGAAATGGCTAAGCAGAGAGGAGTGCATGTTAGATGAGCCAAAGTCCTCTGAGGTGCCCCAAGTCTACACTTAAATTTCCAATCCCACCTTGAAGTGCGGGATGGGGTTGGGGAGTGGGTGAGTGTAAAGGGATTTGCTGGTCTAACCTCCGTGCTTTTGCGCTTCTGGGATGTGTTTTGAAGTTTTCCTTCTTCCATCAGTTGCCCCACAGGTTTCTATAGCATGAAGAAGTCAAAACTGGACAGATTGGCTTTGATTACTGGCTTACCCACCCTAGGTGACCTAGGGCGTTTTACCCAAGGTCTCCAAGCTTCAAGAGCCTCATCTTTCAAGAGAAATAAAAGTGCCCATATAATACACTGCAGGGTTGTGGGAATGAAGTCCAAGAACACGTTGTGTAAATGCTTCCTACTACAGTAGGTGTTCAATAAATATTAACTTTCCTAAGAGAAAGAGAGAGAAGGATACTCACTTTTTCTTTTCTTTTAAAGACAGAGTCTCACTTTGTCACCCTTTGTAGAGTGCTGTGGCGTCACAGGTCACAGCAACCTACAACTCCTAGGCTTAGGCAATTCTCTTACCTCAGCCTCCCGAGTGGCTGGGACTACAGGCGCCCGTCACAATGCCTGACTATTTTTTTGTTCCAGTTTGGCTGGGGCCAGGTTCAAACCCGACACCCTCGGTATATGGGGCCATTGCTCTACTCCCTGAGCCACAGGTGCCGCCCTCTTTCTTTCTTTCTTTTTTTTTTTTTTTAAGACAG